AAATGGGTAGGGAAATAAATGAGAGTACGAATTATAAGCAGGAACTTGATCAGCTAATCTGGCAAGGTTAGTAAAGCGTCTCATAGGGAATATTTTGGAACAAGGTGGTATAATAGAGAAAGTCAGATCTTTAAGATGGCCTAATTCCCATTCATTATTTTATTTCTATTCACCTTGATGAAAGAACTGGAAATGGGAAAAAAATACAAATACCAATTAGTGCCATCATAACCAAAATCTGAAAGCTATTGAGTGAGTAAGAGAAATCATGATACTGCTAAGCGGATGTTTTCAGCAGTGTGTAATTAACTTGTGTTCTCAAGGAGGGGGAGAAGACTTGGAGAAAAGTGGTCCAGGCCCAGAAAATGCGGCACTTGAAACATGAAGGTGGCGAGAGTCTTCACCTTTCCACAGTGAACAGTGTTCTTTCTATTCAAAATCATCATGAAATTGAGCAGGAGGAATCAAGCAATTCTTGTGCACTTCAAACACATCTAGTCCCCCCCCCCCCCTGTTTTTCTCCTGAAAGTTTGGAGTGGGGGTGTCTGAGGCTCCTTAGCCTAAGTCTGCTCCTTTATAACGTGATAACACTTTACACGCATCGTGAAGTGATGCAGGGGATTAAATGGTAAAACTTTTTAGCATTTTATCTACTCATAAGAGTCACTCAATAAATCATAGTGGTGTGGTTATAGTCACTTTGTAATTTGGAAAAGATAATTCATACTATTTCCTTTATAATGTGATAACACGTTATGACAGATCCAATAGTTCTGTTTGTTAGAGTTGCTTTTTTATTGTTCTCATGCTGTATTAAAATTTCAACTCAAAGATTGATCAGGATTCATTTAGTGGTTGCATTAAATTAGTGCTAGGAAAAAAAGCATAAACATTTCTACAGACAACCTCTTAGCATCATAAAATTAACATTGTCAGTTTAGCTCTAACATCTGCAGGGATAATAACAGTCTATGGCTACGAAAATCATTTAAAAGTTAAAAATGTGAATAGAGGCCTGATTAGGAAAATTGGAGGAAAAGAACATAATTGAGTTAGAGATCCATTTGCGCCACATCCCAGTGCCTTTTGTTAGGAAACATACTTTTGATGGCATGCGACCACTAAGTTTTCTATTATTTTCAAAACAGCACTGTTCACTGCTAAGAAATCAGTTCATGATTTTATATAGAATAAGTGCAAAGTAAGAATCTTAAAATTGATATATTGTATTGCAACATGCAGAGAAGAGATTGTAAATACTGAGACATTATGGCAAGTTTCATTCCCAGATTAGGAAACAAAAAAGTTATATTATACTTGCTCTAAAGCTTGTTTAAAAAGAAAGCTACAACTGTTAAGAGAAATATCAGGCACTTAGAAGAAGAGTATGAACTGTTGGCAGAATTATAAGACAACATTTTTGGCATCACCCAATTACTATCACATTTGTCTAGCTGCAGATTTTTTGCGTTACGCAGGAATGAAACCAGTTACGGTCAGAGTATGAGGCAGTCCTTGGAACTTTTGTAATGCATACACGAAATGATATGGTCACCAGAGTGTGATCTGTTCCTCATGGAAAGGCCATGCAATGGATCCAGAGGGTTATTCAGGCCATTGTGTGTGAACTGTGTGGTAGCCTAGAAAGGCTGATTCTCCAGTTCAGTACCAATGGAATTAAAGTTTTATGCACAACAAGTAGAAAATTATGCATGTCACTAGATGTTGCTTTGGTAAAGGAGTAAAAATGCTGGTTAACAAAATACTGGATTGTCTTTGATTTGGTTTAATAAACATCTTACTAGAAAAATTTAAAAGCTTTTTTATAATTTTAAGCATTTACACGAGAGAGAAAACAGGAGAAAGATTGATGAGTGGCATTGTTCATCACCCCTTTGACCTATCTTGTTTTATCTCTCTTTTGTCTGTTTCCTGGGGCAGTTTAAGGAAAATCCAAAACGGGTATTTTCACACATAAATATTTCAGTGTATATCAATAACTTGTAAATGTCTTTACAATTATGCTTAGGGTCAGCATTTTGGCACAGTGAGCTTAAACTGTCGGCTGCAATGCTGACATCCCATTTAGGACTGCTAATTCAAGTCCTCGCTGCTCTGCTTCCAATCCAGCTCCCTGCTAATGTACCTGGGAAAGCAGCGGAGGATGGCCCACATACCAGGGCCCCTGTCACTCATGTGGGAGACCCAGATGGAGCTCTACAGGCTCCTGGCTTTACCCTGGATGAGCCCTGGCCACTGGGGCCATTTTGGGGTGAACCAGCAGATACAAGATATCTCTCTCTCGTTCATTGTGCTTTTAAATAAATAAATGAGTCTATTTAAAAAAATAAAATAAACTTATCCTTAACAACTTTTTTATTTGTTTTTTCCATTTATCTATTTGAGAGACAGAGAGAATTTCTATCTGTTGGTTACTCCCCGAATAACCACAATGGCTGGGGCTGGGCTAAGCTTTAGCCCAGAGCTGGAATGCAATCCAAATCTGCTATGTGTGGCAGGGACTCAGCTATCTGAGCCATCACTTGCTGCCTCCCAAGGTCTGCACTAGCAAGAGTCTGGAAGCAGGAGCTGGAGCCAACACTCAAACCCATGCATTTTTTATGTTTCTCAAATTGTTTTTACTTTAGAACTGCCCCAGATTTCTACAATATATCACTGACTTCAAGAAATAAGTTCAAATGTCCTGCAGTGTCCCACTTCATTTATACTCCATATACTCTATGAATAGGCAGTCAGATCAGAAATTTTATTAACATTTTATATTAGTATATTTGTCACACTCTATAAACTGCACCTAACTTTTCCAGTTTTTTCAATCCAAATTCCCTCTATTCCTCCTACCCCTCCCAGTCTTTGTAATCAATGTTTTGTGTTCATACTGAGGTGGATTTGTTTTTTGTTTTGTTTTTTAGCTCCCTCATATAAGGAGAATATACAGTATTTGTCTTCCTGTGTTTAGTTAATTCTACTTACATTCTTTCCTCGAGTTCCATCCATATTGCTGCACATGACAAGATTTCATTCATTCTTATGACTGAATGGGATTCCATTGTGTATATAAGCCATATTTTCTTTATCCATTCAACTTTAGCTGGTTCCCTATCTTGGTATTATGAACAATGCTGGAATAAACATGGTGGAGCTGATATCTCTTTACAGTGATTTCATGTCTTTTGTATTTATACCCAGCGGTGGGATTGTTGTATCATATAGCAGGTTCTCTTTAGTTTTTGGAGATATCTCCATACTGTTTTTTGCTAGTGGTTCTGCCATTTATCAGACAAAGAGTTAATGTCCAGAATATATCAGGAACTCAAAAAACTCAACCACAAAACCAACCAGTCCATCCGATTAAGAAAAGGGCAAAAGACCTGAATGGATAGTTTTCAGAAGAAATACAAATGGTCAACCAATGTATGAAAAAACGGTCCATATTGCTAGCCATCAGGGAAGTGCAAATCAAAACCACAGTGTTATCACTTCACTCCTATTAGGATGGCTGTTATCAAAACAGTAATAAATGCTGCTCAGGATGTGGAGAAAGGGCAAATTTTCGGCACTGTTGATGGGAATGTAAATTTGTATAAGCCAAAAATCTTATAGTTTCAGGGCCAGTCTTAATGGTGCAGTGGGTTAAGCCTCCCTTTGCGAGGCTGTCATACCATATCTAGTGCTAGTTTGTGTCCTGGCTGCTCTGCTTCCAATCTAGCATTCCTGCTGATACACCTACGAAAGCAACTGATGATGGCACAAATACATGGGTCCCTGCTACTTACATGGGAGACACAGATGGACCTTCTGGCTGCTGGCTTCTGCCTGGTCCAGCCCTAGCTGTTGCACCCATTTGAAGAGTGAACTAGCAGATAAAAGCTCTCTCTCTCTCTCTCTGACATTCAAATAGGTAAAAAGAATTTTTTAAGTTTATTTTAAATTTGTTTGAAAGGCAAAGTGACAGAGAGGAGAGAGAGAGATCTTCCATCTGTTAGTTAACTGCCCAAATGGCCACAATGGCTAGTGCTGGGCAGGTGGAAGCCAAGAACCTGGAGCTTCATCCGGTCTCCTATGTGGTACGGGGGCCCAAGAACTTGGGCCATTTTCTGCTGCCTTCTCAGGCACATCAGCAGGTAGTCAGATCAGAGGTAGAGCAGCCAGGACTCAAACTGGGCCCATATGGGATGTCTGTGTTGTAGGTAGAGGCTTAACCTGCTATATCCCCCCAATGAAATTTTTTAAAAGAAATTAGTTTAGCTTCAAATATGGATGGTTTTGTGTTCCCCTATTGCATTCATACCTGACAGTCATGCCTATTCCTGATGATAGTATTGGAATTTAGTACTTGACATCTTTGGCAGAGAGGATTTCAGGAATCCATGGTGGAGAAGTCGTGAGTCATGTAGGTTGCGTACAAGCTCTTTTTAGTATCATTAGCCTGTTAGGAAGAGACACCTCTAAATGGCTTTCTTGTTCCAAGACAGTCCTGCTATTTGTTTTTTTTTAAGCATTTCGCTTATTAAAATCAACTCAACAAACTCGAAAGAATAAAATCAATCCTGTCATCAAAAAGGTAACTTTGTACTGCCGTACTGTTACTGAAATTTGAATCATAAAGCCTAAAAAAGAAAAGACAATTCTTCGAAAATTTCATGGAAAACGTGTATTATGAAAAAAACCCTATACATGGACTTTGAATTTTGTTGCACCAAAGTAACCTTGTCTTTTCCTGTCATTTTCCACAAACTTTTGGAAGCAGCTTTATAGCCAGCTCTGACAAGGAGATGTCCGTTAATTTGCTGTATGAACTAACTCATAGAGGGATTTTTCCATTCAGCACCTGGGCGCTTGTCTTCACTGAAGGGCTGCCTTCCCAAGGGTCTGTGCTCAATTACAATAAGGGAAACTGGCATAAAGGTTGATGCTTCCTAATAAACAAAAATAAAGGATTCTGTTTTCTAAGGTTTCATTTGTTTGTTTGCTTATAGGAAGAAATCTTTCCTGTTTTCTGCTCTGTATGCTGCCTTTATATTTGGTGGGAGGCACCTAATGAACAAACGGGCGAAGTTTGAACTGAGGAAGCCGCTAGTGCTCTGGTCTCTGACCCTTGCAGTCTTCAGGTAGGTTTCCTTTCCCTTTTTTTCCTCTTAATAAAGTCATTCAATTTGATCAGAGAGCAGTTATGGGACATCTTACTCTATATCTGATATGTTTTGATTATTCAGTGCATTGATGGCATGGCATGAGAAAGAACATGAATTTGCAACCGGATTTGCCACGATCTACTCAAACTCTTCTTTTCTGAGTTCTCAAGTCATCTCTTTCTCTGTCTAATAATCCATGCCCTGATCCAGTTAGTGCAGTAATCCAATTCATCTGTTAGGACTAGAAACGATGTGTGACTTTCACTACTTTTGTTGCATAAATACATTTGTAGGGCTAAATGGAAAGCCACAGGAGGGAACTGTTGGAATCCGTTGGTTAGCAGAGTTCAGATGTCATAAGCATGCTGTTACTAATATTTAATCAAAAAAAATGGCACCCAGGCAGAGAAGGAGCAGGCTTTGTCTTTGTCAGCTCCACTAGACCAGAGAGCACTTTGGCTGTGCATCTCCAGTCACAACCTCCATCCCTGTTCCCTGACCCGACTCTCGAGCATGTGTGTATGTAGCTAGTTCTCAGTTTGCACCTTGCAGATCTCAACATAGAGCCTTTTAGGACCAAGCCTCGTCTCTCCAGACATAGCTGTCAGCCAACATGCAGACATATTCCTCCTGAGGCATTAAGGAGTGTTTCTAGTCATCATATTGATGTGCCGGCCATCACAAGACTAATCAGCATGCAGCTGGTGTCCAGCCATGTGCCAAAATTTACCTACTGCACTAACAACAAGACACCTGTTCTTGTGTTTTACTTGTCAAAAGCAGCACATGGCCGGCACCGCGGCTCACTTGGCTAATCCTCTGCCTGAGGCACTAGCACACCAGGTTCTAGTCCCAGTCAGGGCATGGATTCTGTCCTGGTTGCCCCTCTTCCAGTCCAGCTATCTGCAGTGGCCAGGGAGTGCAGTGGAGGATGGCCCAAGTGCTTGGGCCCTGCACCCGCATGGGAGACCAGGAGAGGCACCTGGCTCCTGGCTTCGGATCAGTGCGGTGCACCAGCCGCAGCGGCCATTGGAGGGTGAACCAACAGCAAAGGAAGACCTTTCTCTCTGTCTCTCTCACTGTCCACTCTGCCTGTCAAAAAAAAAAGGGGGGGGGACAGCACGTTTAGGGCTAAGCTTGGTGGAGCCGGGGGAGGGGCAAATTCTGATACACTATAGAACTATGAACTACAATTTTTATAGGTATTCATTTGTATTTTCTCATCTTCTATGGTAACTGTTCTGTTAAACAGAAACAGTTGGTATCATTAAAAAATGTCATTAGTCACTTACTGCTTCCTAATGATGATCAAGCAGGAATAGGATTTTGCCATTAAACTCTGGTAATTAATATAGATGCACTCTGTTAGATCCCTGCACAGAAACACCCCTGTTCTCACCACTTCTGAATACACTTTTTATTTCAGTGCACTTTGTAAGGTTGCATGTACCCATGCTGTGAATCTGTCACTAAATGCTGTTCCAGTGAAATCTATATCATATCATGATTCTGTAAAACAAAGTAGCATTTTATTTTAATTCATGTCTCTGGTTGACAAAGCTTGAGCCATATATGATAGTTAGAAATTTAAGAGGGACGTGATTTCTCTTCCAAGGAGGTCTTTCTGCATTTTACCAATTTTCCATTGTTCCCGGAGCCTTTATTTTTTTGTTATTTTAAACTTTAAGACATTTGAGAGTCAAAAGTGCACAATGGCCTGTGCACTGGTGACCCAGCTTAAAGGGTTTTCAGCTCTTGGCAATTCACGTTTCCTCTTTACCCTGCAGAGTCCCCCTTACCACCACATGATGCAGGCAATAATTCTGAAAGAAACGATACCATGGCTGAAACTTAAGTGCTCTTTTGTGGAAAAAAAAATGAAAACTTTATCATTGTCTTCTAATAATTGTCTCATTAGTCATAAAAACTAACAATTAGACTTTTTCATGAAATGTTTAAATCTTTCCTGTTGTCTCTTAAATGATTTTTAAGTTAATCATTAAGATTCTTATCAAATAAAATCTGTAGGGATTTCCATTTATCTTTCTTTTAACTTGGAGTGTTCTTCATTTTCTCTCCTTCTGTCTCTTCCTCTGATAACCAACCTCTTGAAGACACCAAACCATTTAGTCTGTTGTTTCGCCGCACTGGGTTTGGCTTCATTGCCTTCTTCTAAACCCTGTATTTCATGTTTTTAAAAATCTTTGTTAAGCTTTATGAAACGGGATTTACCAAGGGAATTGGCTCGTGTGTGCCCAGTATGTTTTGAATTGGTAGGTAGATCTAGAAGGGTGGTTAAATTTAGGCTTAATACTTGACAAGACTTTCTGTAAGAAGAAATTTGCTTTCATCAGCTCTTTAGTTCTTTTGAAATATTCATGGTTTTGGTAAAATCTGAATAAATGCTTGATTCTTTGCCCATATTTGCCATTTAAAAAAATTGTTTAACTGCCCATGGGCAATAAAGTTTATTCTCTTAAGTATTATGACAAACTCATGAATTTATACTTTCTATGTGTCAGTGATTTTGAGTTAAATTTGATTTTTGATATTTTATAGTCTAGAACTACTCTTTCTGATGCTGGTGTCTTTTTGTGTTTTTGTATGGGAAGATGTTCCAAACTCACCAACCCACAGTTCTGTTGTTCAGAACTGGGATCAGCCATTCTCCAAACAGCCCTAGTTCCTTTTGGGGGTGGCAGATAATATTTAAAACCATTCTGAATACTGCGGGTGGTAGATGGTGCTTTTTTGTTATTTGTAAGCCTTTCAGAAATGGAAACTTATTTTTTTAAAAGAAATATATCCAAAGTTGATACTGCTACCTCCAATTCAAATTTAAGTCGAGAAAAGCTTTACTTAACTAACCTCTTATTTCTCCTCCCATTCATGCCAGCTCTACCTGCAATGCCACAGAGTAACCCCCTTGATCCTGATATTGTGAACAAGATTTTGGAAAACATTGATATTAGAAGGTCCATTGCCACCCACAGGAGCTCTGATTCTGCCCTCCACACTTCAGTAGTCATGCAATCATTAGCAGTAGGTCATAGAGGAGTTTTATGACATGCTACTTTGTTAGCATTGTCTTTGTTTCTAGCTATCTGAGACTGGAATCTGCCAGGTGGGATCCGCCTAGTCTCAAACCACAGAAATAGGACAGGAAATGAATCTCTTAACTCCTATTGAAAAATCAAGAGCAGGAGCAGGGGTATGGCTCAGTTGTGTCCTACACTGAGTGCCGGGGTTGAAGTCCAGGCTCTGCTCCTATTCCTGCTTCCTGATAATGCACACTCCAGAAGGCAGTGGTGACAGCTCAAGTAGCTGGATCTCTGCTACATAAGTGGAAGACCTGAGTTCAGTTATTTGCTCATAGCTTTAGCCTGACTTTGGTACCAATTGGTGCAGGCATTTGGGGAGTGAGAGTAGATGGATGCTGCCCTTTTTTTCAGTCTGTCAGTCTCTCAGATAAACAAGTAAATAAGTAAATCAATCAATAAAAATTTTTGAAAAGAAAAACCTGAGCAATAATAAAAATAAGAAATGACAACTTTCTGTTCTTTGAAAGTAAGATAGAGTACGTAAGCAGGAGTCTGTACATATTGGCCTTCTCTGGGTGATCTTGGTTTCATGCCCATTCTCTCAGTGTTATTAATAGTCACTCCCCACTCACTCTAAAAATGGCCCAACTTAAATGATAAATCAAATGATATTCTGTATGTAACACACTGAGAAATTATATTGGCTTCATAAAACAGCAAAAGTCAGAAAACCAGTGACCACTTGCGAGCTTGTAGCTTACACATCTTCATTTTTCATATTGACCCTCTCATCCAGTTTCATCTCCTGTCTACATTTCTGAACATTTGACTCATCGTTACTCAAATTTAAAACCAGATTCATTTTTATTTCCCCTTATCAAAATTTATCTCACCCTAGTAAACATCTTTTAAGTCTTCAAAAGCTTTTATTTGCAAATAACTCTCATTGAACCAGTCACCAACTTGGATTTATTCTCTTTTTAACATCTTAGGTATCTGTCTTACTTCCTCATTTCCTCCCCAAAAATTCCAGTCCTGGTTTGCATTACTTCACATCTTCAGTATTGTAATAACCTATCAGTGTCCCTCAAATGCTTTCTCCAGCCAAGCTTTCCTGCATGCATCAACAGGGAGCTGGGTCAGAGGCGGAGCAGCCAGGACTCAAACCAGCCAACTTAATACGATGTGCCACAAACGCCAGCCCCAAGGGCAGGGATTTTGATCTACTTGATTTCCTGGTGTGTCTCTAGTGTCCAAGTGGGTACTTAACAAATATTTCTTTGTAAAAATTGAATAAAGGAGATGAAGAGAGGAAACTTATTAACAATGGTCTACATTTCTTTCCAAATGGAGAAATAGAGACATGTTTCCATTTTTCTCTGGAATCCAGGGACTCACTACTGGGAGTTTCTGGTATTTCTAAGAAAATAATAATGAATTAAGTAAGTGCATGATATTTCTGCCTTTTAAAGTTAAAAATGTCCCAGAAGGAGGGAGAATCCCGATGCGCTGTGAATGGGGGCTTACTGGTGAGAAGCCCAGAAATGTCCCTCTACTTTGCAAATGGTGCTGTGGGCGTCGGTCACGGGAGACAGATCTGGCCTGTCCTTTGCTTGGCTGTTGCTGATCAGCACTGACCTGAAGGTCATCCTGTTTCTGCAGACTTGCTGAGACCAGTGTCAGTGTGGTGTGTGCAAACACGACAAAGAACTGCAGGTTTCTGTACGCGTAGACACAGGACAGCTTCTCATTCTCCTCATATGTTCCATGGACTTGACAAGCTTTGCATATTTACTGTTGGAAAAGCTATCCACCAGTTATGTGTTTATTAAACACTTTCCTTTTACAGTTATATTAGTGAGGATTTTCTGTGCAGGAAAACTGAAAACCACAGAAAAGCTCACACTCCAAGTCTTTAATATCACTCCCCACAGA